GATTATAACATATTTACAACACATTGCTCACAAATACATTAATTTTTTTTATAGTTCATAGCTGAACCGAATAGACGCTAAGTTCGTGCGCCTTTGGTTTTTCTGCCTAGGCTCGCCTAGCCTTGCCAAGTGACGATGTTAGGCCAGTGGATGAATTTGGTTAGCTTTCTAACTACCTTGGTTTTTTGTGTAAACAATATTTTCTAGCAAAGTTTTTTGCTATGTTCAGCAAGCTAATTTGGCTCGCTGGCCAGCCCTGACAAGCTTTTCGTGGCTTGTGTTACTAGGGGGTGTTTGGTTACCTGGATATAGCTCATCCAGGCTCCCCGGATGCAGCCAGACGATGATTGGTAAGCCTGAGCCGACCATTGGGCCTGGGCCCATGCGGTGCAAGAAGGCTCTCCCAGCCAGGCTCGGCAGATACGAGAAAAATCGGCGTTCCTACGCGTCCCGGCTCTAGCGAGACAAACGTTTTTCTCCCTTCCACTTTCTTGGTGTGCCACGGCATCATGCAATGCCCTCGCGTTCGTTGGCAGTCGGCCCCTGGGTCGCTGATGACGGGACCCTTGCCAAGTGAGGATGTTAGGCAAGTGGATGAATTTGGTTAGCTTGCTAACTATCTTGGTTTTTGTGTAAACAATGTTTTCTAGCAAACTTTCTAGCTATGTTCAGCTGGCCACATAATGGAGGACCGCTCTGCGATGTAGTTCCTAGATTTTGTTACATGGAGCGACGCAAGTTGAAGGCACATAATCGAGGACCGCTCTCCAATGTAGTTGAAGCCACATAGTCGACCGCTCTGAAATTATGAGAAGAGAAAGTTTCTCTTTAGATGTTGGCATTTTCTACACGTAGTGTTTGGTAGAATCACTGCTGCCAACGCTATGGTCGAACGACACGGCACCCAGTCCACACCGTTGCCAAGACTACTACCTCCGACCACAAAATAATGCAACTAACGTATCTGTTTCAGTTAAAATAGTTTGCGTTTGATCAAGTTTACAGTAAATAGTATTTATATTTGTGTCTCTTTTATGAAAATATATTTTATAGTTGTAACACCCTAAAAATTTCAATTTTGAAAATTGGTTTAAAATGATTAATTTATGAATTTTTGTGCACATGAAATATAGGAAAAAGAATATTTTTCATTAAATTAAAATTCATCATAAGGAGTAGCAACATGGATGTGCATACATATCGGTGCATTTGATCTATTGATTGAGTGGTTTGAATCAAGATTCAAAATGGTTTGAATTGCTTTTGGAAATAAATTTGAAAATGGCTTTGAAATAAAAGAAAAGAAAATTAGAAAATAAAAGAGTTTTAAAAGTTGCAAAGTTTATTTTTGAAAACCTACCAAAAGTTCTTATCCTATTTTGAATTGAAAGTATATTTGAAACAATATTTGAATTGGATCATATTTGAATTTGGATTGAAAAAAGAAAATAGGAAAGGTTTGGAAAATGGGAAAAAAATTCTACCGCAATCTGGCCCGAAGGCCTGCTCCTCTCCCTCATTTCCTCACAGCCCAGCAGCCGCGCAGGCCGCGTCGCCCGCTCCCGCTCCCGATGGCCCAAGCCGTGGCCCAGCCCGCGACAGCAGCAACCGAGGCCCAGCAGCGCCGCGCCCCTCTCTCCCGCGCCTTGAGACCGATAGGTGGGCCCGCTCTATCAGCGCCGTCATCTTCCTCGAGTCGTCGTCGCGCTGGACTCTGCCGCCGCCAGGACTCCGTCGCCGCCCCGTCTTTGCCGCCTTGTCGTGCACTCCATGCCTGTTCGCCCCCATAAAAACCGAAGCCGCATCGTGCTGCCCTCACCTAGCCGCCTCCAAGCCGTCACCTCGAGCCCTAGCGCCCTCTTGCTGCATTTTGGATCTCTCCGATGCGAGGTCGAAGCCGCCGTCGACGCGCCCGACGATGGAAGCCGTTGCGCCGTCTCCATGCATTTACCGCCCTTTGTTACCAGGTGACGAAGCTTCCGTGCTCTCTAGCTCTCCTCTTCTCTCTCTGTTGCTTATACGTCGTCGCTGTAACCCTGTAGTGCATCGCCGTCCGCCTCGCCGAGCTCCGTAGTGTCTTTGGCCGACCGCCGTCACGATTTAGCCCCTAGGTGAGTTCGCCGTGCTCCGCTCTCTCTCCCGGCGCCTTCCTCGTGTCGTAGCATGGCCGTAGGCGCTTCGCCGTGCACGCCGACGAGCTCCTCGTCGCCGTTAATGGCCACCACCACGCCATAGTCACTGTGCCGGCCGAAGAAATCCCCCCAACCCTCGGTAATCGTCCATCTTTGATCTAACAGCCTAGATTAGAAGATACCCCTTCGGTCCATGAGCACGGTGTAGCCCAAGCTCACCGTCTGCGTCAGCACGCCACGTAGGCAGTCCACCGTGAACCCGCCACTCAGTAGCCGCCACCTGTCACCACATGTGCGCCACGCCAGCTACCGCGCTGATTGTGCGAATATTTTGCTAATGAGATCCCAGATTTTCCAGAAATCAAACCGCCGTCCTGAGTAGTTCAAGAGTAATTAAAATTATGCCCCTAGTTTTTTATGTTTTGACCCCTGGGTTTTTTCCGAAAATGACGCCCGGTCCACAGGACTGTTTTAATTCGGTTTTTAATTATTTTAATACGAAATTGATTTCAAAATATTTACAAAACTACCACTATCTTCATTAGGCCATATTTTCTCCGTTTTAACTCCGTTTTGATCCGTTCAACTTGCGTTAGGTCCGTGGTTCCATAATCTACATGTTCATACTACTGTTAGATATGTTTTCAACTTATAAAATTTGAGGTTATATTTAATATATTATTTTATTAAAGGAAATCTTGTTTAATTCATATCTTCTACGTTTTAGCTCTGATTTGACCCGTTCAAGTTATGTTAGATTCATTACGACGAGATCTACGTGTTAGTAACAATGTTTATCATGTCACTATTTCTAAAATTTCATGGTTTAAATCCTAACTTGAATAATGATTATGTAATTGGATTTTTATAATTAAAAGTAACTCAGAGTTTTTCACCTCTGTCTTTTGTAAATAAAATAAGATTAATATTATGTTAGTTTTCTAATACAAATACAATTGGGCTTAAAACAATTTAGATATTCTTATATATGTTTTATAATTAAAATAAATGAAGCATATAGTTTTCTTTTTCACGTATAAAGCAAATCTATCGGTAGATGTATCTTTTTCACCGTAGCTCCGATTAGCGTGCTTTTCACGTCTATATGTTCATAGCAAGATGTAGATTCGTTTTACAAACTTTTCATCTTGATTTTATGGCTGGTGTACTGTTCTAATTTAGATCTATTATTTGCTTCGTATATGATTGCATGGATGCTTGTGTGGTGCTTTATGATCATGTCCAGTCGGTGAGATATACGTGGTGATCAAGAAGAAGAAGAACGTTGAAGATTAAAGCTTACCAAAGGATCAGTGTTTTAAGGCAAGTATACCATAGGATCTTTCTTGTTGTCCTATACGCCATTAATCACTTATCATACTGCATGTGTCTACCTTGACTACCATTAAGGATTTCCTAGTACTTTGTACGTTGTGCCTTGATACCTATGGGGTATTGCATTGGATAGTATGATGCTAGTGCTCAAACTAAAGCCACGATCTTGTAACTTAACTAATGGAATATGCAATAAATATTAAAATATGCTTTTTAGCAACATGGAACAAGGGGGCTAGAGCATTGGGCTATTTTTATGGTGCTCTAGATTACTTTTCCTAAGGACTTATCTGTAAGTGATCATCCGGGACTTACAGTACAACTATGAGGGCTATATGGCTCTGGTTTTAGCTCAGTACGAAGACATTTTCTAGCTTGTTAGTGGTTACCTTTATTGGCGTAAGAATGGCTTGCCGAATCGGGTATAGGACAATCTCTACTCTTATGTGTATAGCCGTGATGGAATTATGCCATTTGACAGGGGTTTCCTACATCTGTTTGCCGAGTGAATCTAATGACCCTAACTTGTTAGATGAACCTTTAAAAGGCTTCATAGTGAACCCTGCCGACCTTCCTTGGTAGTGGGTCAAGAGGCTGATTACCTTGGGCGAAAGGGTAAATCACGACTCACAGTGAAAGTGTACAACCTTTGCAGAGTGTAAAAGTGGTATATCAGCCGTACTCACGATCACGAGCGACCTTGGAACCCTTACAGAATAGATGATGAACACTGATGATACAAATGATGAAGATACTAACTAATGATTATTGTTTATGCTATTTATTATTCATGTTTACCTAATCATGTGTTTATATGGGCTTGTGATAAACTTGTTGCTACTCCTATACTAAAATTGTGACAATTAAAAGTTAATCGCAGTTAAACCAGTGTCAGCCTTTTGAGCCTCATGAACCCCATGTTATATTTGTTGAGTACAACATATACTTACGCTTGCTTTATTTTTTCATTATTTGGATAAAAATCCCGGATGGGTACCAGATTGCTAGAGCTTGGAGGAATTATGCTTATGATCAACCAATCAATTGTCCCTGTGGAATTGGAGTCTTTACCCGAAGATCGAAGTTGTCTTTCCGCTATTTACTATCTAAGGTTATATTCTTTATACTAAGCACGTTATATATTGAGCATTGTCTATTGATATTACCCCTATTTGTAACTATATGTGAGATTTGACTTTCTGGGCTCACATATGGTGTGTATCTGGTTTTGTTCTTAAAACTGGGTGCGACAATAGTTAACCTAACAGTACTTATTCTATATCATAAATGTTAGTATTTTTTAGAGTAAATTACACGGTCGGTCCGCAAAGTATTGAGTGGTTTTCATCTGGGTCACCAAACTATGAAATCGTACGTTTGGCTGCCTAATGTATTTAAGTGATTTCATTCAGGTCTAAAATAGACACGAGAAGGGTTAGAAGCTGACATGGTGGTCACGTGGACATGATTTGAACATAAAAACCTGAGCCGAGGGTCCACGGTACCCAGTGTCCACTTCCTCCTCCGCCGTCGATGGGGACGCCGCCATCCCGCTCGAGCGTGGAGGCTCTGAGCGGCCTCTCCGCCATCCCGCTCGACTACGTCTGCCCCGCCGACGAGCGAGCCGGCCTCGGGGACGCCTTCGACCTGGTGCGCACCCATGCCAACGACCACACCGCACCGTGGATCCCCGTCGTCGACATCTCCCTTCTCGAGACACCACCAGCAGCCCGGCGAAGCGGCTGACGCGTCGGCGTGGAGGTTGGCGCTGCCACCGCCGCCGCCGATCAAGGCGTCATGCACATCGCCGGCCATGGCATCCCCAACGAGCTCATGGACCGCCTCCATGCCGCCAGAGCCGTCTTCTTTGCCCTCCCCGCCGGAGACAAGGAGGCCTCACGCCAACGACCCCGCCGTCGGCCGCTGCGAGGGCTACGATAGCCGCCTCGCCACCAACACCTTCGGCGCAGCGTGTGGGAGGACTACCTCTTCCACCACGCGCTCGCTCACGTACTACCGACCACGTTCGCCGCCACCCGACTTCGGTCATCGAACACGGAGCTGACCTCCACGCTGCCGCCGCCATCCTCTCCGTGGGGCTCTCACCTGCAGACCACGACGGCGCTACCGAAAAAGGCGCTCATCACCCACTCCTAGGCGGGCGGAGATGAACATGAAACGAAGCGATGAGGACCTCGACCTCCTCCTGCAGTTCAAGATCAACTACTACCCGAGGTGCCCACAGCCGGAGCTAGCCATCGGCGTCGAGGCCCACACGGACGTCAAATAGCTTGCGCTCGTAGCTCATCCACATCCTTGCGCTTCTCCCTAACCCGGCCGCGTCGTCTCTAGCCGCCGAAATCGACCGTACGTCGGAGTTTCGCCGCTGCTGTCCGTCATCGCCACCATAAGCATCTCTGCCGTGGCCAGCCCGCTACGAAGAGGTTGGTGGCGATGGACAGCGAGGGCAGCCATGGCACGAGAGGCACGCCCCACACCTTGGGCGCCCGTGCCGTGGGCACTAGCGCTAGATGCCCAGCGTGCCGGCCGCCCACGCCGGCACTAGCACCACGTAGCCCTACCACTGCTCCGGCGACATGCCCCAGTATGCGGCAATGCCGATGGACGACGCGATGATGAGCAGCAGCAGCTGTGAACCGCAGCGTGTGTGTTTGTGGGTCATCACGCCCCGCACGTAGTACCACCGGACAAGCAGTGCCGTGGCCGTCATCATGAAGATGAAGAGCGTGCTGATGGAGAGCAGGCTGGAGAGGACGTCGAGGCTAGAGAAGAGGGCGATGCAGGCGCTGCAGACGGCGATGAGCGTGGCCATCATCTCGGGTGCACCTGTGCCAACATGGGCGGGATGATGTGGCTCAGCGCGATGTGGGTGGTGTAGCGCGCCTGCCCTAGCGCACCCACCAGCAGCACTGTGGTCATCCCCTTGAGCGCGCCCAGCGCATCCCCACGCTGGCGAACGCCACCGAGTAGGCGCGTGTTGCGGTCGATGGCCGTGTATGGCTGCATCATGCTCAGCACCAGCGCCGTGATGCAGTAGATGGTCGTGATGATGGACGTGGAGCCCAGTAGGCCCAACGGGATGTCCCACGATGGGTTATTGGTCTCCTCCGCCATGGTCGCGATGTTCTCGAAGCCGCCGTACGCGAAGTAGACGATTGTCGCCGCTCGGAACACGCCCGGCACGCCATGCAGCATGAAGGGTCGGAGGTTGGCTAGGTTGGCATGGATGAACTCGGCCACGATGATGAACGCGATGACGACCACGTGCACGGCGGACGCGACCCAGTTCACAAGGGAGGTGCCCTTGGCGGTGAGCATGGCCAGCGTGGTCGTACCCCTTGGTGAGCCCCGACGCGTGGATCCACAGCGTGCTGGCGGGCTTGTTGATGAGCGATGCGAGGTAGGACGTCTAGGACCGCGCCACGACCGCCGTGCCGATGATGCTCTCGAGGATGAGTTTGGCGGCGGCGATGAACGCCGCGGCGTCACCGAGCTCGACGCGGAGGTAGGCGAAGGAGCCGCCGGCCACGGGGATCTCAACGGTGAACTCGGTGTAGCAGAAGACGGAGAGCTTGGTGGAGAGGCCCGATGCGACGTAGGAGAGCACGATGGCGGGGGTCCGCGTGGTCGTGCGCCTCCTGCCCTGTGAGAACGAAGATGCAGGCGCCGATGACGGAGCCGATGCCGAACCAGGTGTGGTCCCAGCACGTGAGGCACCGCCGCATCTCGTGCTCGCTCCAGCGGCGCAGCGTGCCTAGCTCGACGACGTCAGTGGACTGCCCCGCGAGGCGGTCCCAGAGGCGGGCGGGGGTCTCGCCCAGCGCCCGATGGTACGCGCCCTAGCTCGTGAACGACGGCTCCAGGAAGAAGTCGTCCCTGTGCCATCGCTAGTAGCTCCTCACTGGTACCGTCGCGCGGCCTTGCCTGCGCCCTGGCCGTACTCCACCGGCGCGGACATCTCCGCGGGCGCCATGTACCCGTGGCTACTACGAGGACGCTTAGGGCCCGAGGCCGGCGCCCATGGCCATGCCCAAGTCGATGCCGAGGCCCAGCGATGGCGCGCCGCCCACGGCCGTGCAGGAGACAGCCGGCTTCGCGACGAGCGTAGGCATGGGGCGCGACTTGCGGGAGCCGCAACCGATGGGGACGTTGCATGTCTCACGGGTTTTCTGTTCAAATCATGTCCACGTCAGCTTCTAACCCTCCTCGTGTCTATTTTGGACCTGGATGAGATCACTTAAATACATTAGGTAGCCAAACGTGCGATTTCATAGTTCGGGGACCCAAATAAAAACCGCCGAATACTTTAAGGACCGGCCGTGCAATTTACTCATTTTTTATATAACTTTAGTTAAACTTAAAGACATTTGCATCGTAAAAAAACGAGAGTTGAATTCTTTTCTTTTCTAGTCTAGATAGATAAGAGGGAGTAACGAGTAAGGCATAGCCTAAATCTGAAATTCACTTTCCTTGTTGATAAAGCTCACGCTGTTATAGCCTATGTCGCGTCCTTTTTTTCAGCACTACTTTTTTTTATCGGGTATAATTTGGATGTACACAACCCATACACTCCTCACACGTGCGCGTCCGTACACACGCAAAGAAGAGATTGTGAGGATCTCTAGCCTCCGGTGCGCGGGAAATGTGCAATACCACCGAACGCGCACGCGTGCACGTACCCTGCTTTTTCTGGAAAATATCCAGAAAATAGGTGCCACACCAGGGTTTGAACACTGGTGGGTAGCGACCCACTGGATTGCCCTACCACTGGTCCACAGGCCCATTCGCACTTCAACAGTACTTTTCAGTAATAAAATAATATTTTTCTCTTACGATAAATCAGTATCAACAGCAGCCTAATTTCAGCGAACAGAGCCCTTGCTGGACCGCACAGGCCGAAACTTACACCTCCTGGCTCGTAGCCTACTCGCCTCCGGCATTGCATGGGTTGGGCCTTGCAGCCCGACGAGTCCTCTCGCTCGGCCCAGTCTTGGTGTTTGCAGTTGCCGTATGCAAGGCGTCTTTCCCGGTTGTTGTTTTTTCAAAGGCTTCTTTCGACTCCTTTGGCGGTGGTCGACATAGGTTTCTATTCAGGCCCATGACTTTCAATTAAAGAATGATGTAATCAAAGTATTAAATCTGTATAAATGATTTTCTAATACAAATTCGCAAAAAGATGGCTCAATTTCACTGAGGGCCTTTTGGATCTCTTCGTTTAGGAGAAATTGAGATATACTTAATCGATTAGGCTATTTGACTTGAAATTTAAGATTCCACAACTTTCCAAAATTCACATATAAGCTTACCTCAAATTCATAGGGTGCGAGATGAAAATAGATTCTACGTATCACCATGTTATGTTTCTAATCTACAACTTATAGCATGCTCTTCAACTCGCTTCCCTATAGTAAAATTGCAACTTATAAACAACTCCCTTGCATAGCTAACAAGAGTACACAAATATATTCCATATACAACCATATTAGCTGAACTAATATGTGCCTAAATTATAATTTATTAGAATGAATTCAATTCCAAAGATCCAAATGGGGCCTAACCTTTTTCTTTTCTACTAATATAAATCTAGTACTCCCTCCGTCACAAATTAAGTGCACATCTCGTACTTCGAGGAGTCAAACAAATTTAAGTTTGATCAAATTTATATGAAAAAATACTAAGATTTGTAATCAAATAATCATCATTTGGTTAATCACATCATATATTTTCATACTAATCCTATTTAGAGATACAAATGTTATAACTATTTTCTATAAATCTAGTTCAGTTTGATTCCTCGAAGTGCGAGATGTGCACTTGTTTTGGGATGGATGGAGATGTCGCCAACTTGTGATCGATCGTCGCCTCGCCTTTGGCAAATGTAGATTGGCAGAACTAGCGCCCGTATGTCTGGACATTTTGGCTTCCGTCCGAACGCCCTTGGGTCCGGCAACGACGTAGAGGAGGTGGGGGCGACGGCAGTGGCGTGCAGAGGATAGGAGCACGCTCGCTTTGGGACGGAGCGTCCAGGTGTGGATCTTGGTGGCGTGGAGCTCACCGGCAACACGAAGCTCAGCGATGGCATGTAGAGGGCAGGGTAGGGCGCGGTGAAAATGTAGACGACGGGCAGGGGTGACGACAGCGAGGGGCGCGGCGACGATGCAGAGGACGGATGGGGCGGCGGCAACGGCACGCAATGGACGTTGGTTTCCGTCCGGATGCCCTTGGGACCCACCGCAGTAGCATCGTCAATGTACTAATGAAACATGCCAGGATTACTGTTGAAACATGTACAATATCGTTGTTGCAACATCCATAAACACAACAGCTGCAACATGCGCCTGAAGCACCTACAACATGCACTCAAAACACCTTGAACATTTCAAACATAAGCTTTTTAGAAGAACATGTCATTCTGCTTGAATGAATGTAGGCTCGTTGGCACGTAGAGCTCGACGGTGGTGCATGAAATCATTGGCATGGAACTCAACGGCGTGGAGCTCAACGGTGGCACGGATCTCGGCGGCGTGAAGAAGGCTACACCACATGGAGCTAGGCGACAGCGCACACAGGGTAGGGTGCAACGACGACACAGAGGATGGGCGGGGGAGGCGGCAGCGGCCAGCAGAGGACAGGAGCACGCACGTTTCGAGATGAAGCATCCATCGGTTCGGACACTCAGGCCCAACGCTGCAACATCAACGATATACTAATGAAACATGCCCATA